TGAAGTAGTAGAAATGCTATTTGTGTGGTGTGGTGTGGTTGGGTTCGGGGGGGGGGGGGGGTTGTTTGGGTCAATTTATGGTTAGTTTGTGAAGAGGTGATGTTAGTGGTGCTGTAAGTAACTCGCACTTATTTGTTGACTTTTCTAATCATGCGAACATTAGTTTGAGTGGTGCCCGGAGTATTTTTAGTTCAGTGTGTGTGTGTCATTGGGAGAGTTGTGTGGTGTGTGGGGTGCTTGGAAGAGAATGGGCCACGCAGGCCTAGAGATATTTTTGGAGGCAAGTTTGCTTGGAAGGGGCCAACTAAGGTGGAAAAAGTGTAAAAATAGTACAGGCTAGTCAGTTTTCGGACTAGTCATTCAAAAATAACCAGCGTTTGCAAAGTATTTGAAAAATAGCAACTGTTTCGCTACAACACGGAAAGTTCCAGCATAATATATTGGAGATCGGTGCACCTGTGTATAAACTTCCAGCATATTATGCTGGAACTCCAACACCCGAAAGTTCCAGCATAATATACTGGAGATTGGAGCACCTGTGTATGAATTTCCAGCATACTATGCTGGACCGGTATACTGGAACTCCAGTATACTTATGCTAGAACTCCAATATATTATACTGGAGTTCCAGTATATTATATTGGAGTTCCAATATATTATACTGGAGTTCTAGTATATTATATTGATATTCCAGTATATTATGCTGGAGTATTTTTTGAATTTTGAATAGTGTTTTCGTTCAGATTTATCTTTACATGAAAAGTGGCTAAATCTCGATTATTATTTAAACTGTGGCTATATTTGAATGATCACTTGTAAATCTGACTATTTTTTAAGTCATTCGGTTAATTGTTTTCTCAGAAAATTGCGGCCCAGAACCGTTCAACGATCTAATTTAGAAAAATTGGCCCAATTCCCTTATTCCTACCAGTTTTAGCCTAATTTATATGGGAGAAATTCAAAAATAGCCAGATTTACCACTGGTCGTTGAAAAATAGCCAAGTTTCAAAAGTCATCGAAATTTAGCCACTTTAAATCTGAGCGAAAACACTGTTCAAAATCCGGAAAAATACGCCCGCAAATTTTACGGGAGTTCCAGCATAATTATGCTGGAACTCCCGCAAATTTTACGGGAGTTCCAGCAAGTATAATTGTCCAGTATAATATACTGGAGTTTGGAGCACTGGTGCTCCAGTCTCCCGCAAATTTTATAGGAGTTAGCAAAGTATACCGGTCCAGCATAATATGCTGGAGTTCGTACACAAATGCACCAGAACTCCCGTATATTATACTGGACCGGTCCCTGTTGCAGCAAAATAGTGGCTATTTTTCATTGACTTGATAAACGCTGGCTATTTTTCATTGACCAGTGTGAAAACTGGCTATACCATGATATTTCATCCAATTCTGTCTCTGAATCGTTGTTAAAAACTCAATTATTCACTTTTAAAAAGTTTTAGATAAAAATCCCTAATTTCCCAATTAAAATATGGATTAATTCAAAAATAAACTAGTGTATTCATTTTAAAATACAAAAATTGAGGTTAAATATCTACCCCCATAAAAAAACGAGAAGAACACCGCAAAAATCACCTCAAATGTAGCTCTAGAACTCAAGATATTTTAAAAATGCCAAAAGAACGTAGTATGATTTATTTTAATACACAGAATTCCGCATATGCGCCTAAAAAGCAGCACTTGCGGTCTGCCAGCTGTCGTTTCCGAACTGGCAGACCATTTTGCACACCTGCGGAGTCACGGGTGCGGACCCCACTTTGCATCTGCGAAGCACCAATACCATTTATCTTTTTCGACACTAAAAATGGGCATAACTCCCTCATACGATCTTCAAAATCAACGATTCTTTTTGCTATGTCTTTGTAATTCTGATACGGATCTTAATCTACAATCAAAACAGAATTTAGAGCTTATTTTTTTAATGTATAACTATTTATGCTTGAAGAAACAACGTCGAAACATCAAATACGAGCACAACACAACCCAAACCTATCCGAAACCCACCCAAGCCCCTTGGGACTCCGCCTGAACATACCAATAAGTCCCAAAAACATAATACGGACATGCTCAAGGCCTCAAATCTCACATAACAACATCAAAATCACGAATCGTACCTCAAATCGAGCTTAGTGAACTATTTCGAATTTCCAAATTTCAAATTTATGCCGAACACGTCTAAATAACTTAGAATCACCTCAAATTTTGTATAAAGTTTCAAATAATATAAAGAATCTATTCCAACTCTAGGAATAATAATTCGAACCCGATAACATCGAAGTCAACTCTTGTCAAACCTATAAACTATCCAAACTTTCAAATTGCCATCCTTCGCCAATTAGGGCCAAAACCTTTTAGAAATATCCAAATGCAAACCTGGGCATACGCCCAAGCCTAATATTACCGTACGGCCCTAACAGAACTATCAAAACTTTGATCTGAGGTTACATACACAAAAATCAAACTTGGTCAACTCTTCCAACTTAAAGTTTCCAAATTGAGAATCATTCTTTCAAATGAATCCCGAATCACTCGAAAACTAAAACCGACCATACACGCAAGTTATAACAAATCATATGAAGCTATTCACGATCTAAACTACCGAACGAAAATGCAAACACTCAAAATGATTGGTTGGATCGTTACATGTCTGTGATATGAGTATTTTGAGATGATGCTATTCCGGGGCCTTCAGTTGGTTGACCTTCGGGTCCCGTTCTTATGAGTTTAATGTCTTTATTTATTGCTCGCACATGTTTATTTTGCGTGACTTGTCATAGCCTCGATACCTTTTGTCGAGGTTAGGCTCGATACTTAGAGAGTACATGGGTCGGTTGTACTCATACTACACTTCAACACTTCTTGTGCAGATCCCGGTATTGGTCCCAACGATGTGTAGAGGACTTCGCTCGGATCCGACTTGCCCAGGAGACTTGAGGTAGATCTGTTTGGCATTCGGATTCCCTGAAGTCCCCTTCTACCTTATTTTTACTGTTTATCTTTCTTCAAATGGATGTATTTTATTCAGACCATATTTATAGTATTCTAGTCGCTCATGTACTTATGACTCTGAATTTCTGGGATTAGTATAGACCGTGTTATTTATGGATTTATCATATGTATTTCAGATTTTACCAATCGTTGTTCATCATTATTCTACTTTCAACTGTTAAAATTGGTTAACTATTTAGTTAACGTTGGCTTGCCTAGCAAGTGAATGTTAGGCGTCATCAGGCTTTGTGGTTGAAATTTTGGGTCGTGACAATGGCATGACACTCCAAAATAAGTTAATTAAATTTGGGATAATTTCAAATACCTCCAATTTAGGTTTCGCTTCATTACACTAATCTTCATTGTAATTTACAATATTACATTTACTTTTCTTATTTTGATTTCTTTATAATAATGTTTAATTCATTATCATTAATTTAAAAGTATAAATTGACCATATTTTAATTTTACTAACATACTAATTTGTTTAGTGAATTCTAAAATAACTTTTCTAATTAGCAGAAGAGTCGTTGTTAGAGCATCAAATAGTTCAATGACAAACATAAAATC